CCAATTGTAAATAGGAAACAGCGAAATCGTTAGTCAATACGAGAGTTGTTCGATTAACATATTTGGCCGTTCGACTGAGACTGTAACAATAGTAATCGGAGCACTGGAACTCGAGAGAAAAGGAATGGACAATTTTACTAATAGTGTCTCAGGTAACATTTACAAGTTACCCAGAAGATCACCTTACTAGGAACATCACATATACTAAGAAAAGTACTATCAATTAAATGACAGTTCCCCTACAGAGCCTAGGGCCATAGTTTGTACCCGGCTCGACAGGATACAAAGCAGGAAACATAACACAAATAATAATAATAAGAAGAAGAAGAAGAAACAGAAAAATTTCGTTAGAAACAAAGAAAAGAGTACTGATTTTTGTCCTATATGATAGTGAATTCTGTAAAATCTCCTCAAAGATGAAGAGACTTGAAGCAACAGAAATATGGTTCTACAGAAGGATACTGAGGATACCATGGACCAAACATACGAAAAGTCCTACAGAAATTGAAAACAAAAAGGAAACATACTTAACATCAAGAAGAGGCAACTGAGGTTTCTAAGACACCTAATGAGGAAAGAGGGCTTGGAAAATTTGATACTCACAGGAAAGATAGAAAGCAAGAGAGACGGAGGAACACAACGCATAACCTGCCTACCAATTTCGAGTAAATGTGTAGTGGAATAAAGTCTAAAAGCGATAACCAAAATAACAATTTATTAAGAGCTCTAAAGGACGGTAGCTGTGGAGAGCCATCATCAGACTCTATCTGAATCGACACAGCACAGAGAAGAAGACCTCCAGTTACTGAAACTTAAAGACTTAATTTAAACCTAGATTTCTCACATCTATCTTTAAAAAACATAGCCCTAACCCGATCTACCTTTGATCAGCATGGCTGATGCTAACCTCAGGGAGAGTGACTCACTGCTCCATCTAGGGCTAATGTTCCCGACTGAAATAAAGTGGAAGGACTGTATTTGTTAGGTACCTATTCTATTGTAATTGACTCTCCCATAGATAATAAGTAGGAGTAGCAGTGGCAAGTCTGGCAGAATGGTGTTGAGTGCGTCAGTCGAGATTCGGACATTTGAAGTACCAACCATCACAACTAGAAAGCAAAGTAAATAATAACAGAATTATTCGTTTTGTTTCAATTAATTTGCACCAGTCTACCATTTGTTCATCTTAGAATATTGCTGCCACATATGGACCGGTGCCTCTGCTAATTAGCTTGAGCTTCTTGATAAATTCCAAAGAAGAATCAGCAATATTTTTGGTCCTGATCTGGCGTCTCGACTTCAATCACTTTCCCACAGCTGTAATGTTGCTTCCCTGAGCTTTTTCCATAAATACTTTCATGGTAATTGTTCGGATGAACTTTTCGCCATGGAACCTTCAGCGCAATACTAGATTGGCGGTTAGGTCTCATCACTTCCCAGATGAATTAGCTAGATATAACTATAAGTTCTATGCTAACAGTTTCTTTTCTCGCACTTCTCGCTTGTAGAACTTTCTTTCGGCCCCGTGCTTTCCAGCCAACTCAGTTCCTGTAAAATTCAGATGCAATGTTAATCTTTATCTACTGTATTCTTAATCCTTCTTCTCTCGTTCTCCCTCCTTTGTAACGTTTGTCTTTTTTTTTTATTCTTTCACATTCAGTAACCCCCTGTGTCTTAGTGATTTCGTTGCCTCGCATAAGGTGATGTGATTAAAAAAAATTCTATCATAATGATTTTGATTAGAATTTTGTAGATTTTAGAAGAATGTGAATTTCGGACGTTTTCGAGTAAAATGTTTCAGTTACAAACTTTTTTTCTCCCAGAAAATTAAGAAAATAGATTAGCGGCAAAGTTTCGTTAATTCACATTTGAATTGCCTAAAAGCAGCCGAAAGTTCTATGCTAACAGTTTCGTTTCTCGCACTACTCGCTTGTGAAACGCTTTTCAGGCTCTATGCTTTCCAGCCAAATTTGATCTGGTGCGGTGTCACTTCTATATATTTATAGATTATTAATACAATATAAAGAAGAATCTGCAATATTATTGGTTCTAATCTGGCATCTTGGCTTCAGTTACTTTCTCACAGTCGTAATGTAGTTTTTTTTTGTCATGGTAATACTTTGAATGAACTTTTCACAATGGTACTTGGTCTTTAGAAATTTAAGCGCAGTACTAGATTGGCAGGAAGGTCTCATCATTTTACAGTTGCATTGGCAAAATGTAACCGCAAGTTCTATGCTAACATTTTCTTCTTTCGCACTTCTCGCTTATGGAACTCTTTTCCGACTCCATGCTATCCGAGCAATTTTAGTCTTGATAACTTGAAATGCAATGTCAATCGCTATCTACTGTCTTCTTGATTACTCTTCTATTGTTTTCACTTCTTAATAATGTTTCTGTTTTCTAATTCTTTCATGTACAATAACTCCTTGTGTCTTAGTAGCTTTCTTGCCTTACTTGGTGTGAATTCGATTAAAAAAAGGAAGATTTAATTTCTGTT